AATATTAAGAAATTATTGCTAAATAAACTAACAATTAAAGCATCCAAATACTAAAGTAATTGTAACTATTATTAATATACAGAGTTTGACGCAAAGTACTATTTAAAGCTTACTTATAATTATGAGTTAATTAGGATTTACTTATTGTGTATAATTAGTAACTATTGTATGGCATTATAATAGTTCTTAAAATCAATTTAACGTAGATTTATGAGATTGAATAAAACGTATAGTGAATAAAGTGATTACTGATTAGCAAATGTTTTGGCAATTTTCCCACATTTCTCTCACAGGTATATAAGGAATATATGGTATATATCGGTGCAAATGGTTTTATCACTGAATTTTAAGAACTATCGGTCCCTTTTTAAATCACTCAATAGTCTATTAGCCTTAAAAGTACTAATTATCCGCTATATTGAGTCCACACAAGTCAATACAATGGCTACTGAATGGCTGACATTCAATAGAGATTTGTTTTGCGTTAAGGGAATCTATTATTGAAGGGTGCAGTTGTTGTTATCTCTGTTTATCTTTGCATATAATACTGAATTGAGTTTGCATTTTGATGTATGAAAATGATTAGCAAATAAATAGAAAGAGAGAAATGGAAATAGAGTTACAATTGTTGGGCAGATGTCCGCTGAAGAGCATAAAAAAGTTCATAGAATACAGAATACGGTATATTCTAATAGACATCCATAGCATAGGGCGTCCATACAGGGCCTGTACTGTATGGCAGGTGTATTCAAATACTACACCACTCTCTACTTTCATACCCATTATATTATACCATATACTCTACCATTCAATACTAAATACTCTACTTATATTCACTGCCCGACAGTTTTACGAATAAAAGTAACTTATTTTTCACTTCAAAATATACAGTATTGACAATTCTTTATCACAAAATTGGTTATGTTTTTGAATGGCGTCCAAAAAAGCGGGGATTATTTGGTTTATGGATTACCCGGTAATTTGAATGAAGAGTTTCGGTTGTATTGAATGAAACAAATTAAAGGATTTCGGGTCAAAATAATATTACAACTTTTTTTGTGACCTCAAAAATGAAGTTATTTTGTTCCCTATGTCGTGATGGCGGTCCTGCTGTGCCTTTTAAATCAGCTCAACTACTCTCACCACTACTCTACTCTTCATCAATGGCACACCACTCGACTCCACTGCCATTCAAATGAAACCATATTTAAGAATATTGTAAAGAATACAACAAATTGTATTCCTATCGAAGTCAGTCTCTCATCAATTTATTTCACATACAATATATTAAATGGTTATCTATTTATTTTCATTCTCCCAAAACTCCCTTCTCATCAATGGATTGTAATTTCTATTTTTATTTCAAATTCATTTATAATAATTGTTATCAAAAGACAATTATTTAGAATACATTTAGAAATGTATTGAAAATAAAATTACAGAAAATTTTCATTTAATTTACACAAAAAGTATTGATTTTATATATAAATAACGATTGAATTGATATTAAAATAGAAATGACATTAAATTGTAGGACTGAAGGCAAGAATTGTAGCAAAAGTTTAATTTAGTTGGGCTTAAGTTAAGAGAGTGGAAGTGAAGTGTGGGCTCTTGACTGTGTGCTAATGCAATATATGGTATAAGTTGTGTGTATTATTGCTATATTGATAATACTATAGTCAATGGGATGATGGGATGGTCGCACCCATGCCTTAGCCTCCGGTTTGTCTCCAACTCAGTCTCATTGGAAGCACTGGTATTTGAGTGGTAGCGGTGCTAACAATGGTGTTAATACTGGCGCTAATATTGGTGCTCATACTCTTGTCCTCATGCCTATGGCCTAAAGGCACTTATAGTGAAAGCACACATTGCTTTTCATTCATATTATACTTATTTCCCTATAATATGTGAAAACCACTGAAATTATGTTTACCGATCCTCTCGTAAAGAGCAGTATTAAAGTCCAATTTTTGCTTATCTAACAATCGCTTAAAGCCTTATGAACTAAATACAAGTGTTGCACAGATAGAGCATTACATTCACATAGCATTCACTGCGAGTCCAATCATTCGCTCAATCATGCATTCAATTTAGGATTCACTCAACACTTTGCCTTTCATTGCATTTATTGATTTATTTATTACTTTTCATTACTTCAAGTTATTCCGAGTGTATAAAGAGATTAAAGCTTTATATGAGATCTCAAATGTTTATTATATAAACTCATCGAATATATAAAGATATAAACGAATATATTATTGAATGAATTTTCGGCCGATTATGTCGTGAAATGTAATTTTGGCTCTAATTTGAAGCAAAAGTTAACCGCATTTTCACTACTTTTGTCGCCGTTTATGACATCTGACAAAAGCAGACAAATTTGTTTTCAAACACTTTTTTGTGTGTTTGCGTTACGAAAGCAATGCCTATCGTTATTACATAAGTTGTCTAATAATGAGATAAATCCAAAGATTGTCTTTTGTGTCATTCAATCATCACAAACCACTGCCAGCGAAGCAATTATATCTATCTTTACAAACCTCTATACTTCACTCGTAGCCAACTCTCTCTCCCAATGAGATTCAAGAAATCTAATTACTCTCTCGACTACGAGTTTAGGTCTCAATCCCGGAGCGATCGGATAAAACTACCGCTAATGAGTCAATGAGTTATACCCTTATATTCTTTTATTTAGTTTTCAAATACAAATTCAATCCTAAATAACATAAAAACGTTAGTTTTATTGAATAATAAAAGCAAAACTTCTAATTCGTCTCATAGGGTGTAATTACAGTGAAATCAGTTCTCAGATAAACACACAAAACATTTCACTTTTAATCTAATGTTAGGATAAAAAAGAGAAAACAAATTAGAAATATTTTAATTCACATTTAATGAACCGACGCTTTAATTCCATACATAATTAGTGTTATTATAAAAAAGTATACAAAAATGTGTGTAATTATGTAATGAATAAAATATTTTGTTAATTAGGAGGAGATAATCGATAGGCGTAATCAAAAACCTGCAAAATCGCTATTAATGATGACAATAAGCCTAAAAAGCCTATGGTTTGCGCCGACAGTCTTGTGTGACCCAAAGCGGTCATTGGTATCCATAAATCACAAAAATTCTTCAGTGTATCGACGCATACATTCTTATGTCTGACAATCCATTCAATTAGCTTTAAGTATTGATTGGGAGACGAGTCTAAAGGATTGCCAGGAATTACATCAATACGAGATGAGTGTCCGAAGTAATGCTTTTGTGACGTCACATAAGTATTGGCTTTCAATAAATTGCTTATTTCATAGACATCTCGCACCAAATTCATGGTAATTGAATACAACCAAAACTTATTACTCCATTGCGACCATTGCTTTGAATCCATGGCCACGAGTCCCGTCCCACTCAACCATAGCATGTGATCGCACAGCAGGTATAGAGAAGATGCGATTCGAGACGCTGTTAGCGTAACTCTGAGTGTCGGGTCCGGCAAATGCATGGTTTGCATCGATGAGTACAACACATCCACACATCGGCCCAGTCTTAGCACTGCATAAACATTATTACAAACAATTCACATAATTAGCATCTATTCTATAATTTATAGTTATCTAAAACACTATGCATGGTTTGCATCGATGAGTACAACACATCCACACATCGGCCCAGTCTTAGCACTGCATAAACATTATTACAAACAATTCACATAATTAGCATCTATTCTATAATTTATAGTTATCTAAAACACATTTATAGACTAAATTAGTTTACGTTGAGAATGCATTACGTGTTGTAAATATCAATAAATTCAAGTCAATTATTAAAATAGCAAATAATTAATTAATAAATATTCACTACTATTACCGTTATTAATATAAATATTTATTAATTTTATATAAAATGTAAAAATATCAAATAATTATTATCAAAATGCAATACAGCTTTAATAATAGCTTATGCAAGTGAACGCAAGAACTTAATATTTAAACACAATTAGCTAATTTTAATCCATAATCAATAATCGCAAAATATAATTACCAATAAATAATTTTATGAATCATATTAAAGTTTAAAATGGTTATAAAGGAATACTACAATCGTATACAATATCATACATAGTTATTTTAACCATTCTATGCCACCGTATTTCCATTGTAGGAATGATTGAGTTAGATTACTGTTGGGGGAAAAGGGGGAACAAGTGGGGGGAAGCAAATTTAAGGTTGGTTTAGATACATTCAATATTTTGTATTAGAAATTTATTGAAAAATCAAATAGTTTAACGGATAATAATAATATTTTTGAGATTTATTAACAAAATTCAATATTAATTTATTTTAAATAATATTGTTAATATTGGATTTTATAGTATTTGATGCACAGAGTGAGAGATAAGCAATTACTAAATCATAACTTAATTGATTGATCGTATCATTCTTTCGGGCTTTCATTAAGGAAAACAATTGTTCACAATTATAAGTAATTCCAAAGTATGTTTTCAGGTCTGGCCGTAATGACCACATTTATCGGTAAAATTTTGAAAATCAAATCTTTTATTTTATAAATAACCATATAATATAATATATCAATATAAAGGTATGGATGAGTAGAATCGAGATTCGAATGAATTTCTTAAATCTGACATAAGAGATAAAAGTTAAATCAAAATTAAGAAATTTAGTATCAGTTATGTACGTTTTTTATAGTGAATAACGTAATTACTGAACATTATTTATATCAATTTCAATTATGCTTATAATACGATGCTAATTAATTTTGCAAATAAAATAATAACATTTTTAAATATAAATAACACAATAACAGGAAAGACAATAACTTATCGCATAATTTGTCACCAAATCTATCGAAAGACGATTTACTATAATTTTGAGACTTTTTTTGCACAAAATGATTGAAACAATTAAATTACAAAAAGTTGGATAATTATATTTCTGGAATAATATGCTTACAACTTTTGTCAGCATTCGTAGTCAATGCAATGCCAATGTTTTGAGCAATTCATTGAAGCCAACATTACGGCTGGAGCATAATATTCCAGAAATTTAGTTATCCAATGAAATGTAATACTCAATCAAAACATGTCTTTCGATAAAAATTCAATAATACGGAAACAGAAATTAATTAATTATTATTATATTTATTTCTAGAAATAAGTGATTAAAATTTATATAAAAGTTATTTTTAATTGACATTGAACCATTACTTGTATTTAAAGTTCTATTTAAAAGTTTAAGAAGTGGATGTGAGACATAAATGAGATTAAAGCATATTTGTATTTTAAACTATGTATATTGACCATCAGGTAATAATTCAAGGACGACTTAAGTTGGTATCTCCCCATCAGAAAGTTAGATCTTAAAATTATTATTAAATACACAAAAATGTAGAATTTTTTATATAAAATTGTAAAAAATAATTTTAACAACAAATATAAGAAATTTTGTTATTATAAATAAATAAACTAAAAATGTGTATTTAATTAAATAGTGTCCAAAATAAACGCTAAATAAATAGTGTATTCCTATATACAGTATAAACAATCAATATTTGAACTCAAATACAAACATATAAAGCAATTCACTTGTAATCAAATGGGAATTATACAAAACATTAAAATAACCTTTTATATAAATTTTATTAAATTGTATTAAAATTCTCTTTTATTCGATGTACTGATAATTAACTTTAGAAATTAAATTGCAGTGGCTATATTACGTTAAGTCTATGGCTATAATGTAAATTTACATTAACATTGAGTTAATGGGGTGCTATGGTATGGATAATGCTAATACTATGGGTTAATGCTAAATCCGTGGAAATATTAACTTTATGACAAAGCAAGTCTATAAACCTAATGCTAACAATGTTAATTTTGTGAGATATGTTGCATTGCATATGGTTGCAACTTGCAAACACCCCAACATTTTATTTAAAAACAACAGTTTATTTTCAGAATGCAAACAAATCATAGAAATAATAATGAAAATTATGAAACCACTGAAAATATCTTTCAATAAACAATTAAAATTATTATATAATTTGTAATTAAATGCTTTTTTCTTTGCATTTCCCAAACTAAAGCAAATTTTATCGTTTTTCAAACCTTAATTCTATTTTTATTAATCCATTCAATTAAAATTATATTAATTTGTTCACATATACAGTAGTGTAGAAAGGAATAAATGGTGGACCATCATCATTGATGGTGGCTAATTTGTAGTTCAATATTCATAGTGTTCAGTTTGCTTATTTAATATAATAAATTTAAATAAATATAAATTTAATAATTCATTGTATAATATTCGTCAATATTTTTGATTTAAATCCATATAATTTAATTTAGTATAAATATGTAATTTTATTTTAAACTTATAAACATGCTCCAACAACAATTTTTTCTATGTTCACTTATCAAAGTTATGATCAAATTATTTGACTCAAATAAGTATACAATTACCGGTTAATAATATTATTCTATTAATATTATTACCGTATTACCCCGCTTATAAGTGCATGCACCTATATGTGAGTTTTCACACAAGGGGTGCACCTATATCCGGATATAGGTGCGGTGGTTTTTTGCACATTTTTGACTTTCAACTGAAATTTACATA